AAGTGAAGTGAAGTGAAGTGAAGACAGCGAGAGCCAGAGACGGGGAGAGGGAGAGACAGGGAGAGACAGAGAGAAAGAGACAGACAGAGAGAAAGACAAGAGAGATTGAGAGAGACAGAGAGAGACAACGAGACACGGACGACAGACACAGGACCGACACGAGCGCCTCCGGCTGAATGCGAACAGCAATCTGACATGATGTAATGTTTTCGTACCTTTGAATTAACAAGCCCGTAGTGTCACCGCACTACTTTAAAAAGCAGGCTGCTCTGCACATATTTGCAAACGGTTCCAACGCGTGATTCGTAGCGGCCCTTGCCGCCTTGCCACATATCGGAAGACGGTTCACTAGCTTCAGGAACGGAATAGCGAGCCCTTTTTCCTGAAACGGCGGAGCCAAGAACGCCACAAAAGCAGTGTAACGTTTCAGTGAATATGGTACAATGTGCTTCTTTGACTTGAAGCCTGGAGAACGTCTCATGCTATGTCGGGCATTGTCACCAAACTTTGATCTTGAGCTTCGTTAGGAAATCAAGAGCGGGTCCAGAGCGGTGAGACTTTAGAAATACACTGTAGTATACTACTAGGAGATAATATGATATGCCATAATCGACTATGATATGCTATTCAAGACTAGATTATCATACATCAGCAAGCTTGGAGCAGGACAATATCATGCTCGTTGCCATGCTCGAGTATATTCGTGGAATCTCTGCTCCTCGGCTTAAATTTTTCGTTATGTGAGGATCGACAGTCTTTAGACTTAGACTTTAGAGTCTTGCTCAGTTCCGCTTGGCCTTTAGGGTTCTGGTAGTCAGAGTAGTAGTAGCAGCAGCAGCAGCAGCAGCAGCAGCAGTGGTTTTGGTACTGGTGGTTGTGTTTGGCATGGGTGGTGCTGCTGATGGTGGCGATGGCGATGTGTGGCGAAGAGTGTCGCGGTGATGGTGCTAGGTGGTGGAGGCCGAAGTACAAAGTGCTGGTGGTTGCAGGTCGTGGAGGCTTAACGACTGGGACATGATAAGACTGGCTCGGGGTGAAAATAGTTACGATTCATTATTTGCTGCAGCTTCACAGCCCGAGCATGGGCCAAGCCCATTTGCGCATGTGTGCCTCGCAATGGAAGCCACATTATCCCGCAGCACTTCTCTTTGTCAAAAGGCTTCGCATGGTCAAGTTCCCTGTAGGCGATGTCTGTCAAGCGCTAGAAGCAGAAGACGAACTAGGTGCTAGACTGCTAGATGATCTGGAAGCAGAAATGAGCGAAGTCAATTAATGGACTATCTCCAAGTTCCAGGTGCAACCTAAACATCCATAGACCAGCTGGAGCAGGTTTGACGAGTGTGTTCCTGTATACACTGGCAGCTGTGTAGTCATACCGCCTACTCAACCAGGCCCTCCGAAGGCGGAGGTAAATGAGTGAGTTCGCGATCAAATACTTCGATGAGAAACACAGTTGGATGGTCGCACAATGCTGATGAAAAGATGATGCATTTGCTCATAGTAAGGGGCTGCGGAAGACTCAGAACCTAGTAGTGCCGGTACCTATGACGAAGAACGCTTTCGAGCTACAGAAAGAATCTGAGGTGCGCAGCGGACAGAACACCAAGGTTTTAGTTGCTACCTTCATCCGGTCAGACATTCCCGCAGCCGACCTGAACTGCGTCTTGGTCCAGACATGTGAACGATTCGTCCACGTTTCCTAGTTTCATACAGACTAGGCTTGCTTCAATGTAGTGTAAAGCAACCTAGCGTAATGTAAGCAAGTATGTATGTATCTGCCTGCACTAAAGTCCGTAATTGTGAGAGCCCGGACCCTTTCCCTACGGGTCAGGGGGGGCCCGACCCGCCATCTGCCTGGAAAGGAAATAGAGAAATTTGGGTCCGAGGGCGCCGCGCTGCCTCTGCAGAGAGTCGGAGATTTTGCAACGGTTCGGGGGACATGCCTTTCTGGCCCAGTGCATCCCCCAAGCCCAGCAGGAAGAAGAAAGATCGGCAAACACAGAGAGCTGAAGCTTCTCAGAATTTGGAGCCACAGGTGCTCGAACTCTTGACCTTGAACTGAGGCGAAGGGGCGAGGGCCTCCCTAGAGTTTGCACAAGATCTCTCCGAAATGGTGGGCTGGAGCAGAGGACTTCCCGGCGTGCTGCCGCATTTCCACAACCGCTGAGTTCTTGGATGAGGAATTAGGGTGTTGCCTGGGTGACTCAATTATTGGTCGCCTCGCTTTCCCTGCTTGCATATTGATTTTTCAGCTTCGATTTTGAACGACGAAAAAAATTGATATAGATTGAATATTGATATTAATACAATCTGAAATTCTCGGTAATTTTTTAATCACTTGTCAACTTCATCCATCTAAAACTCACGAGGAACAAATTTTCCAAACACGATTATTCACTTTTATGGGAAAATATACGATACGATTGAGATAATAATAAAATCTATTTATTTGAAGATTCGAGCATTTAGAAAATAAAATATAAGAAAAAAATGATTCCGAGAATTTTGGGAATATAAAAATTATATATTCTTTTATAAGATTTATTTTATAAATTGATGATGGATTTTCAAATTTATTTTCGAATAAATATAATATAATATAATATATTGTGATATTATATCCTTTAGTAAGATATATATATATATATTAGAATAAGATATAATAATATATCTATATATATATATATATTATAAAATATTATATAGATTTTTTTTGATTTTAGATTTTTATAGAATGATTAGAAATCGATACGAAATTACGAATCTACTGAAAGAGGTTATTAAATATTGGAGATTTATAGATTCTATAAATTTCGAGTAATAGTATTGATTCTGGGAAAAT